GATTACTGTCACAAGGGAAGGTGTGCAGAGACTGGGCTTTATGGTACCTCTATGTGAGGCCTAAGTTACATATCGCACAGCCAAGCAGAATACATTGTAAGCAGCATTCCAAGAATACTGAAAATATTAGTCAGTCAAAGCAGTAAGAGATGAAGAGCCTGATCCTGAGGAATACCGCTGAACATCTGCAACTCCCATCAAAATCAAAGTGAGTTAATCTGGACAGTGCAACGAATGAGGACAAACGTAGAGATGAATTTTAAGCAGCAGGATGCAACTTCATTCAACTTAACACAGGGGACGGGCGCTACTTGCTTTGTCACTCATTCTCACATACCAGAGTGGACTCTCCTCAGCCTACCCCCAGCACTCAGCATACTACCAGACTCCTACCATCACCTCTCACATCAGGAAGGGACAGAAAATATTAAAGAGGGGAGGACCTCAGCCCACAGTGTCTCCCTCTATCTCAGGTGCACAAGGCCCATCAGCAAAATCCCAAGTCTTTTACTTCTTTTATTCGCCTTTTTACCACACTGGAAACCCAAGTGCAAACTGCAGTGAACTAACTTGCCTACTAAGTACTACCTCAATTTAAACAAATCCTATTCCTAATTAACCTAATTTTTGTGCCTCTAGAATAATGAAAGTAAGGCAAAAAAGCTCCCAAGGCATATGCAATTTTGGCCCCTTTGGGAATAAAAAATTCCTTCATGATCCCAGAACAGGCAATCAGTCAGACCCACAGCACCCTCAAAAGACATCTACAAAGCTACCAGTAAGGCGTCAGGAGATGGGCTGCAGGAACAGAGCAAAAGGCTCCACATGGCCCAGGGTTAGGGTGTAAATTAATGAAAGGACAGGGTGAGGAACCATTCAGGACCCTTCCTCCTTTCAAATGGCCAGTGACTATTTTTCCCCCATTCAGCTGGGCCTCTCCCAATCACCACCGGCCCTATCAAGTTTCCACCTGTTGAGGCAGATGGGTGGCATGAGAGATTTTGGGCACTTGGCAAGATCAGGCCCTAACTTCTTCCAAAATAAAAAAAACAAACGCATTGAAAAACATTGTCAATGGTACATGAGGCATTAAGTTACCTAACTCAGCTTTTACTTACATGTTGGTACTGGTCTCCCTCAGCAGTTATCTTTTAAACCTCAACATGTCTTAATTCAGATGAGTAAAAAAACAACTTACAATTATGGAAATTTTCTCTTTGGGTTTTACTAGCTGCTTTGCCAACAGATATTGTTCCATTCCAGGTTTTGCAAATCCAGGAAATCTAATCAAAGAAACAAAGTGACTGAATTCCTTTTTCATAATCCCTTCTTTGACAAGTTCACAATTTCCTGCCATATTTTTAAATACTCATTATTCCTGATGGGCTACAGAGAGGTGATATCTTAATTACACTAGATGAAATCTGTGCTAATCATAGATTACTCTGATGACTAATTATTCACTGGGAAAAAAAAAGTAAAGCTTCAGCTTTTGAGTAAATCATCTTTATTATTCATGAAAGTACCAGATACTAAGTTGATTTCTGATTGGTTGAACTTCACAATAGGTCTGATACTCAAAGCCAATCAGAAGAAGTATGACAGTGAAATAGTTTGCAGCAACTGCCATTCTATTACATCATCATTCATCAGCTAAAATGATTTGAATGATCAGCCATTTTATCTGATAAACAGAATAATGAACTAGCGGTAGTTCTGCACATAAGTGGGATCCTCACATGCTTTATCCGCTAATCAGAATAAATAAATGAAGGTATTGTGCCCTCAAATCAAAGTTTACATTACAAAACCAACCAGAGGAGTCCAATTTCCTCAGTCTTTTCAATGAAATAACTCAACTAAAAGAAGCTGACCCCTTGAAGTACTGACAAGCAGCCACTGTTTATATTGAGCAACCACACGACTAAAATGGGACTTAAATTCACAAATTAATTGGTAATGCCCCTGAAATAGGGGGCTTTGTTGTTGGTGACAGATTTTTAAATAGGCTGTAGTGAACAACAGTGAAATCTGCATTAACAGAAATAACATCATTGTAAAAGAACATGGTCACAGGACTTCTGCTTTGCAAAGTCAATGCATCTGCATGACCTAGTCAGTTTCTCATAAATGTATCACTTGTCCTACTAGTTACACAGCAGGAGCCACCATTCCATCCATTTTCTATTCCACTGATATTCAATTGTAACTACTGAACAGTTTCTCAAATCCATTTACGCCTATTTATTATTCTGGGAGTAATAACCTATTTGACTCAAGATGAGATTTCATCCTGTTTAAAATTTGGGCCAATCTTAAATAAATTAATAAAATTAGAGTTCTTATAACTTTGCAGCTTCAAACAAGTATTTACAGAAGTATTTATTCTTTAAAGTCTGTCAAGCTACTTAAGTGAGCAAAGATTATTCATGTGAAGGGTTGCAGATTCAAGCTCAGTATTTTCAAAAAGGTACAAATCCAAAGTAACAGAACATAAACATCCCTCTTGGAGTTCAGTGACAAAGACCTCAATCCTATCAACGTTATGGTTATACAGTAATAGCCCTTTTATGCAGTGCTTCACCAATTATTTATTGCAGTAAGATCAATAAATTGGTATTGCTGACCTACAGAGAAAGTCTGGTTTATAGTGTGTTTGGTGTGGGGCTGGCCGCGGGCTAGGGCTGGGGCATGGGATGGCCACGGGGTGTACTCTGGCAGGAGTTGGAGGGTAGGAGGGCCTTGAGGGCCAGCCAGAGAGGGCACTCGCCTCCAGTGGTCCCTGCAAGCAGCTCCCCAACCCTGCTGTTGCTGACAAAGGCAGAGTCAGGCATGCACACTGCTTCTGTCCCCCCTTCCCGGCTCCCAGCCTACTGGCCGAGAAGGACAGCTAATGGAAGTTACAGAGGGTGGTGCCTACAGACAGAGGCAGCGTGCCTGCTTATAGCAGAGCCACCTGGCCATGTCTCTGTCAGGAGCAGCAGGGCTGAGGAGCTGCTTTGGGGATAATTGGAGGTGAGCACCTGCCTACCCAGCTCTGCCACCACTCCAACTCTCCCTGCCAAAGCCCCCTCCCAGAGCCTGAGCCCCACAGCCCCTCCCATCCCCCTGCCCTACACTCTAACCCCCTCCTTTTTGGGATTTTTTCATTTACCAGCATGCCGGATAAAAAGGGCTTTCACTGTACATGTAGGGTTGCCAAATGGTTTCAACAAAAATAACGGATACACTTGACATTACATCACAATCTACATTACATCTTAATTAGAAAATACAGGACATTTATATTTTCTCAATTTGTTTCCTGAACAGAAAGTTCAAATACTGAACTGTACAGGTTCAAAACCAGACACCTGGGAACCCTATGTAAAAGTGCCTAGCTTTATGCACACGAGCAAGTTTACTCAAGTCAATGGGCCTTCTTATATGAGGCAAGTTAATCTTGTATTTGCCAGATTGGAACCTTTGTCATTGATTGCAAATGTCTTATACTAAATGATTTACTGTAAATAACAATTCCGATTATGGCTATAAGGAATAACAGATTAAAATATAATAAAGAAAAACATGACCAAATCTTAGTCTAAAAAGAATCAAGTGTCAAGCAAAGGAACTGTATGTCAAAGCCAGACACTGTACTTAAGTTTACTTCAACAAGAACACCCTAAAAAATTCTGTTCTAATTTTATTATCTATTATGGACATGTAAAGTAAAGAAAATCAAGAGCTAGCAAGAGCCAATTAATCTGTTCTGTAGAAGTATTGTTTTTCTGTAAGAGGTAATGCTGACATTTGGTCAGAATATCTTATGAAGTTCTGATTATTAGCCTAAAAAAAAGTTAGCTATAGGAAGCTAGTCTTATGTAGATTCAAAACCAAACGAAGGAGGGAGAAATATCCCAGATGAGCAGCGCTCACTGATAAAGTACATGACTCTTAAATATGCATGATTGCGTGCGCGCGCGCGCACACACACACACACACACACACACACACACACACACACACAAAGAGACATTGAATTGATGGCGGGTACATTTATATTAAAAAGACCTATCAAAATGGAGGAAAATACTAAAATCTACTACTAATTTCTTGTTTAAAATATTTACTATTCAAGCAGATTTCATTTTCCCTGGACTTTTTTGTTAATTACATTGGTCTTAAGCTCTCCAAAGATCTTTCATAAACATTACAAAATCAGTCAGACAAATAGTCCAATTGCCTGACATTTTAATGTTTTTTTAATCTAAGTAATCTGATTGCATAGCAATGCAGATGAACTGCACAGGTTTGGACTGGAGAGCTTTTTCCATGCATATTAATGAGTATTAAAAAGCTATTAAGTAATACTTAATTGAAATATTTTCCTACATTTTAAAAATGTGATTTTTCTTTTCAGGGTCAGCAGATGGAAACACCTCTCTCTCTCGCTCTTTCTTTCTTAAAACACTCAGCCTCTGCATTACATAAGAGTTATAACAAATCTATTGTGGCTCTTTCCAAAGAAACTGATATCACTATGCTGACAACAAAATAAAATGCTTTAAACTAACAAGCGGGCTACACTCCCTGCTCACTATGCTCACCAACCCCACCCTGTCTCCTGCAGCTGGATCATGGCCTCTCCTGGTACAGCAAGAGCAGGGTTGCCACTAGCCCTTCCTGTGGCCAGACGTGGCTGGATCCCAGTTGGGGGCCTTGCTGGCCAAGCTTCATTTTAAATAAAGTACAATATTATGTCCAACACAAAAAAGGTTTAAATGTTGTCTCTATTAATGGCACAGCTGGCGAACCTTTTTTGAGTTAGGGGCCACTGATGTACAAAATCAGTCAGGGACCACACAAGTTAAGGGAATATGGATTGGACAAATGGACTGTAAGATGGATAGAAAGCTGGCTAGACCAGGGTTTCCCAAACTTTTTACTTTAGTTGAAACCCATTTTTTTTCAGTACTGTTTTTTGCAGCCCAAAAATATAAACACATTAAAAAAAATTAAAAATGAACACATTTTCAGTGTTTCACCCAGCTGCATCCTCCGCCCAGCCTGAGCCAGGCCTTGGGGGACCGGGTGCCGCATGGACACTCCTGGATGCGGGAGCAGGAGCAGATTGAGGTAGGGTATCTGGCTATGAGGGAGGGTGAAAGGAAAGGTAGGGTTGCCTGGTGTCAGGTTTTGTACCGGACAGTCCGGTATTTGAGGGTTCTGTCCAGGAAACAAATTGAGAAAATACTGGACATATAAAATGTCTGGTATTTTCTAATTAGGTAAGTTTTATTATTATTTGGTGTATCAGTCCGTAGCTGCGAACTGCCTGGCTGGTAAATGTGCTCACACTGCATGAGTGTGTCTACCAGCCAGGCAGTTTGCAGCTACTCGAGGGAGGGTATGGGGAACAGGGGGAAGAGGGAAATGGAATTCCCAAGGCCGGACTCACTCATGTGCCTGGGTCTGAATGTGCCCAGGTCAGTTCTGCTTCCCACTGGCCAATTCACTCCTCCCACCCACTTCTCCTCCTGATCTCCCCGCTCCAGCCCCACTTCTGGTTCTCCCCCGCACTCCACCCATCTCCCCTGGCCAGCCACGCTGTCCCCATCCTGCCCGGCTTCCAGCAGCTGGTTCTCTCGTCCTCCTCCTCCCGATCTCCCACTGCACTTTCAGGAGGGGCCAGGATGTTGTCTCTAGCCTTTGTTTGCCAGAAAATGTGAATGGGTAATATGGGATGGATCATTTGAGGATTACTTGTTCATTCTGTCTGGTTTGATGACAGCTATCAGAAGACAGGACACCGGGCTAGATGGACCTTTTGTCTGCCCAGTATGGCCGTTTTTATGTTCTTACCAAAAGACACATACTTATGTCATGCATTATCAGATAGCCTCTGTATACTTGCTCCTGCTTTGAAATGATAATGCTGAATGTGTGACATCTCCATATCAACCACCTACACTGCACATTTAAGCTGAAGGACAAAATGAATTGTGGGAAGGGGGATTCCTGTTGAAACAAATGTTTACAATTTCTTCTTATCTCTAACAGTATTTTTCCCAGTTTGCTGATTATTACTTGTTAAGTGGTAATTTCATGGCAGCTGCACGAGTATTTCCACGCTGTGGGCCCCCAGCTTCAGAAGACTCACTATCCTTATAGCCAAGGTAAGATGGTGATGTTGATTTTGGGTCATCCCAGTCATCATCCCAATCATCGTCATCAGCAGCTGCTAAAGGAGGAGGAGAAGGGTAAAGAGGGGAAAAATAAGTATTATTTCTTTGCTGAACCAAAGGACGCACCCAGTCTGCAATAATCAAAAGAAAAAAAAGAAAGCTAATTCAGCTTCATGTTTTTGGCTACTCTTAAAATTTATCCTCAACAGCCTAGACATTCAAATAAAGCAGTACAAGACGATTAAATAGATTGCCTTAATGCACCAATATTGTCTTTAATTGGGTACTTCATTGACACTTTCCCAGTTAACATACCCCAAATATAAAACCTTCTGTTTACCTGAACTACTAGTGTAAAAGACTAGAAAGTTATTTTAATACTGCCTGCAATGCTTAAAATAACGGCTTTGTATTACTGAAACACAAGATTGTGGGCAATATATATCTTTCAAGTTCCAGCTATGTGAGTTGAACATGCCTGGGATTCTGCTCTTAATTCTCATAACTCATCTGCTAGTTGTTCATGAAGTTCTGAAAGGAGAGACTGATGTAGATCAAACTGCCATTTTATAGGAATTATTTTAGGAGTCCACCACATTTCTCCACAGAATTAGAATTGCGGGACTGAAAGGGACTTGGATACCTCATTATGGCCAGCCCCCTGCACTAAAAGCAGGATTAAGTATTATCTCCTAGATCACCCTGAAAGGTGTTTGTGTAACTTTGTTAAAAACCTCCAATTACAGAGAATTTTCAACCTTCCCTGGTAATTTGTTGCACTGCTTAATTGTTTTACAGTTAAGAAGTTCTTCCTAGTATCTAATCTAAATCTCCCTTGCTGCAACTGAAGCCCATTACTTCTTGGCCTGTCCTCAGTGGACAAAGAGCAACTTATCACCCTCCTCTTTCTAACCACCTTTTATATACTTGTAGACTTATAAACATCCCCTTCAGACCAGTTCTCCATACTAAACAAAGCCATTATAGGTCATGCTTTCCAGACCTTTTATCCATTTTTCTTGTTCTCCTCTAAAGAGCCACCATTTGTCCATATCATTCCAGAAGTGCAGTGCCCCCAACTGGACTCAGTATTACAGTTGAGATCATAGGGTGTGTCTAGACTTCAGAGTTTTGTCGACAAAATTGGACTTTTGTCGACAAAACTATCCCTGCGCCTACACTACCGCTGAGTTCTGTCGACATAACGTCGACAGAACTCAGCAGTTTTGTCGACGCTGGTAAACCTCATTTTACGAGGCGTAACGCCTTCTGTCGACAACTCTGTCGACAGAAGGTGTTATTGCATGTAAACTGTCCTTGCGTCTACACTGCCATGTCGACAAAGCAGCTTGCTTTGTTGACAGAACTGAATGTAGTGTAGGCGCTCTTTGTCGACAGTATTTGTCGAATGTAGTCTAGTCGTACCCTTCGGTTGAGTAGAGTGTAAGAATTATTTCGTGTCTTGCTTCCAACAAACCTACTAATATAGCCCAGAATATTCAACTTTTTTGCAACAGTATTAAATTGTTGATCCACTATACCCCCTAGTTCCTTTTCTCTAGTCCTCTTACTTAAAGGATCATTTTCCATTGTGTATGTGTGATACTAATTATTATTCTCTCGTGTGCTTTTGTCTTTATTGACGTTCACCCTATTTATTCTAGGCCATTTTTCAAGTTTGTCCAGATAGTTTTGAATTTTAATCTTTTCTTCTAAAGTACATGCAACCCCTCCCAGTTTGATATTGTCCACAAACTTTAAAGTGTACTCTCCAAGCCATTGTCCAAATAATTTTTTAAGATATTGAAACAGAACTAAGCCCAGAACAGATCCCTGTGGAGGCCCTCCTCTCCTATATGCCAGTCTAGCTTGACTATCAACCATTGATGACTACTCTATGAAAATATAGTTTTCCAACCAGTTGTGTACCCACCTTGCGCTCCTTTAGGCTGTATTTCTCAGCTTGCTTAGGAGAAGGTCATATGAGAAAGTATCAAAAGCCTTACTAAGATCAAGGTATTTCATATCTACTATTTCCCCTTCCCCCATCCACAAGACTTGTTACCCTATAAAAGAAGGTATTGGCATGGTTTGACATTATTTGTTCTAGACAAATCCATATTTACTCATTACCTTATCTTGAATCTAGGCACTTACAAATGGTTTGTTTGATTTGCTCCATTATTTTCTGGGTACTAAAAACTAAGATGACTAGTCTATAATTCCCTGTGTTGTCCTCATAGATACTTCTGCTATCCCAGCCCCCCTAGGATCTCTCCTATCCTTCATGAGTTCTTAGTAGAATTATATATTGGTTCAGGAAATTTCTGCAGTCAGTTCCTTAAGTATTCTAGGATGTATTACATCAGACTCTGCTAACTTAAAGACACCTAACTTGTGTTAGTAATTCTTAACTTGTTCTTTCCCCATTTTAGCCTCAGATCCTACCTAAATTACACAGATGTTCATTATGTTAGTGGTCTTATCACTGCTCACTGTTCTGGTAAAAACAAACAAAAAAGGCATTGAACACTTTAGCCATTGCAACATTTTCTGTAATTGTCTCTTTCATCTTTGAGTAAAGTGCATCCCCTGTCCTAACATGTAAAATCTGCTATGTTTATAAAACTTTTCATAATACAGAAAAGGGTCAGTACTGTACAGATGATTCTCCTATATACCAACATTCTGGTCCCATTTATTTAACGAGTGAATCAATTATTCATGGGATTATTTAGCTAACCTGGACCTTGATAGGCCTGTGGGTGCCCAAATTGTGCTGCTCCCTCCCAGTTGTTTGATGTGGTGTTTTTCTGCCCCACTGCACTTTCAGGTTTGCTTGCCCAGCCATCACCAGAATTTGTATTGTCCACGTTTCCAGATTGCCAGTTTGGCCAGGGGTCATGGGCACTGTTGACCTACAACATATAAATAGAAAAGAAGAATAAAAAACTGCTGAAGAAACAAAAGGGAAAATGTATCCTAAATTGTCACCATAACTGGAGAAACCAAAATTCCTTAAATAAAAAGAAAAGGCTACACATTTTCCATGCTTAGTACTTGTCAATGACTTCCTATCACAACCAAGGGAAATCTCAGATGCTCATATACTAAGGGTATGAAGACCATATAAATACGTAGGTAGATACCGATTAACTTTCCACTGATAGTGATATAACTGAAAACAGTATTACTTTGAGTGGTTAAAGATAAATCATTGGTTCTAACAATTTTCTAAACAACCTTATCTACAGCAGTTTCTGGTTATTTCCAGTTGCGATGAAAGTGCATGTCAAAGAAAAAACCAAGACTTGACATTTTTATGAAAGGTTATTCCACCTATAAGCAAATACGAATACAGATATTTGCTACTTTTATTTCACTAAATCAATTATCAAATATTTAAAAGATGAATATAAATTTTCCTCTGTTTTGTGCTTTGAGAAAATAAGTAAATGTTGATTTACATGCAAAAAAGAGAACTCTACCAGAGATATTACATTTAAAGGGCAAGAAACAACCAGAGTCATGTTTATTTTATGACAGAGAAAACAAGACAATTTAGAATTAGTGTAAAAAGCCTTACATTTTGCATAGACTCTGCAAAGCAGTGAATTCAATACTTCTGCCACACATCAGCATCTTGACTGAGCAATCGCTAGCAATCAATTTCAATCTACTATATATTTGAGAGAGTTTGTTCATTCAAGAACTCCTCCTAAGCCATAAGAGGTAGGACCACCAAATTCAGTACAGGCAGTCCCCGGGTTACATACAAGATAGGGACTGCAGGTTTGTTGTTAAGTTGAATCTGTATGTAAGTCGGAACTGGCATCCAGATTCAGCCGCTGCTGAAACTGACCAGCGGCTGACTACAGGAAGCCCGGGGCAGAGCAACTCTG